TGAAAAAAAAATGAAATAATCCTGTTCTAAAAAAAAGTCAAATAATATAATTAGTTCTTATATTTTATCAAAATTATAGATTTAATTTTTGTATAATAATTTTCAAATTTTAAATTTTAATTTTTTTTAAAAGTGACAATGTTAGTTTAATATGTTAAAATTTTTTTATTATTTTATTGATATAACACTTGATTGTATTGATGTGTCATTTTTTTGTTAATATGATATTTTTTTGTTGATATAACATTGAATATGAGGATATGACAATGATAATATAATATTTTAAAAGTAATATAATAATAGTATTGATATAACGTGACTAAAAATTGACATAGATTTTATAAGCATAGTAATAGAATTATTTAATGTGAGCTAATGATTTTAAACAATATTAAAAAATAAATAAAAAATATGAATAGGTTTCTAAGATTTAGAAAAAGGATGTTGTGTTATTAAAAAAATTGAATTTTTGTGCTCTATAATTTAAAACAATGAAAAAAACATTGTAAAATAGATAAAATCATATCATCATTAAGAGATCATTACATTTAATGTCATATTAGTAAAAATATAGTATTTCAATATAAATATAAAAAAATTAATATTGTTAACAATTGAACTGATATTATCAATTTTAAAAAATATAAAATTTAATTTTTACAAATTATTATATAAAGACTAAATCTATTACTTTGTCAAAATATAAAAACTAATCGCATAATTTAATAAAAAAACTATATTGTACTATACATATCCCTTATTGTATGATATGTTTTTGATATTTAATTAAATATAATATAACTGTTAATACATGTTTTTTTTATTAACATCATATCATACGATATTGATAATTATAATAGTTAATTAAGATGTACAGGCAAAAATTAAATGGTCCAAAGAAAAATGTACATAACATATATGCCCTTAGCTTTTTAAATTCTACAAATGACATAATTTTAGGATCTAGATTGCATAAAGAGAGGATTAGAAAATATTGTCATATATCATGTCAGGTCTAGACTCTTGCGCCTGTTGCCCACTTGATTTAATTACAATTTAACAATAAATAAAAAGGTTGGACTCTGCATTAATTGGGCCTAGCCGCGACTATATATGGCACTAATTGTTTGGTAATTTGGGCTGCAGCACCCATTGGGGAGCCATCATATTTCCTTAATTGATTGCCCAACCTAGGCTAGGCTTTGCCAAATTTTCCTGTAAGTTGAACATTAATTTTTGTGTACATCGTCCGTAAAAAGGGGAAAAACAAGACCAAACTCATTAACTTATTAATTAGTACCTATTAATTTAAGAAATAACCACATTTTAAAACAAAAGGAGAACTTAAATAGGCAATTTTTTTTCCCCTCAAGTTCCAAAAGCACTGCCAGGATTCGGGAACCCGCTCTCTGTCTTAATTTGAGGAACTTTTCTCTCTTCACTGGAGACAGATGAGGTACGTGGACCGACAAAAAAACAAAAAATCATAAAATTTTACAAAGTTAACGAACTTCATCTTAGGTCCCCACCCGCACTCCACTCCCACTGCCAATGCCAAATCCCTAATCAAATTCTTGCCTACTTGTCTAGCTTTCTAGCTCTGTCCACCCTAAAGAGAAAGTGCCTTACACTGTTCTGATCTCTAACCCTGGTGGCGTGGGGAAACAGAATGATTGCGGTTGACCCTGCTCTATATCTTTTCTGCCCATATTTAACCGCAAAAAAATTAAAAGTAGTCGTGCTCCATCAGGGACACTTCGTAGTTCATGCATCTACTCTTTCTCCTTTTTGCCTATCATGCTCATTTTTTGGGAATATTGGATTGCCCAATTTTGCTTTCTGGATATCGTTCCTCCTCTAATTGTAGATGTTTTTCACTTGGACGCTTAGCGGTTGGAGATTGGTTTTGAATATTGTGGATTTTAGGTTAGCCTCCCTGCTATACTCTTCTTTTCTTTTTAGAAGTTCAAACATCCATTGTGAAACATAAAACACCCGTTGTGTTCAGGTTTTAACAGGTGGTGATTAATCCAAATGGTCGTAGTGATGACAACAAGCTCTCCTTATTACTGGCTTGATTTGATTATATGTGTTCTCTGTCTTATTCCCTGTCTTTTAACAGGAGGAAATGGCCAAATATCCATCCTGGGGATACAATAATTTACGAAATGAAAACTGGTCAAAATGGAGACAAACTCTTCTGGTGCGGCCAAAAGGAAAGACTTCGCCTCCCCTGTTTCTTATGTTTATGTTGGTAGCAATGCTTGACAACTATGGAGGTTAATGTTCAAGCCCAAGCCGGCTTCAAGCCCTCCAACAACATAGCGATACACTTTATAGTTATTCAAATACTTTTCGTAATGGTCCAGAACTCCACATCGATATGGAAATGGGAATATTGATCCCATCAAAATCCTCAAGGAATGGGACCATCAACCACTCAATCTATCCCTCAAGTGGTTGGCGGATGCCTTGTATACATTTATGCTTCCCCCCCTGTCCCAGCCTTTATTTACCATGCTATAACATCATTTTCATGACTTATCAGATCTTTTCTCATTTAATATAAAAAATATATATTTATTGTCTGAATTAAATCAATCATACCTGTTTTGATCTGCTGCTAACCAAGAATGATATATATAACAAAATTGTTCTTGTTGCCTATCAACTTGCCAGCGAAAAAGTAGAGTGTATAGTCCGAAGAGAAGAAATTATTATTTTTTATTTTATGGGGAAAGATAGTAAACCTCTCACATGACTAAGAAATTAGTAAGAATAATTCAAAGAAAAGGAGTGACATGTTTATACCTGTGAAAGCTTTAAATCAAAGTAGTTACGTAACAGTTTGTTCAAGCTGAAATAGTTTGATTTTTGTTACCATTTAATGGAAAAAAAATCTAGAAATATATGTGACCAATTGAAAGGATTTCATTTTGTTTGACTTCATATTCTTAATGGAGAAGATTTGACAAATCATGCAGCCAATCTGGTCTACATTTAAGCTTGACAATAACACTGAATGATATCAAACCATGGGATGACCAAAATGAATTGATTCAAATAAAGAAGGAACCCTACTTTTCAAAAAATTAATAAAGAAGGAATCAAAGATGCACTGGTCATGCTCTTCTTAATTTAATCTTTAAAATATTCATAATTAACGATTCATGAGGATTACCTTAGCAAGGTTGATTAGCTTACTCTTTGATCCAATTATAATTAATTTTATCCACCTTAAAAAAACTCAAAATGTGAGTCATCCTTTTGCAGTTTCTTGACTCCGTTACATATGAATCTTCATTTTTTTCCATAATTTTAATTAACCAAAATTAGAATGAAATTAGGGTCGTTGAACTGTAATCCAGTCTTCATTTTCAAGAGTAGATATTACTTTGATGAGGAATTCTCACCAGATCTACTCTGACCCCCCAGACTTCTCGTGAGAGTTGCATATAAGGCAACCCAAACACTTTCTCAGTTCTCCAACTCGATCCTCATAAAGCAGCACGTGAGCATATAATTTGAATTTCGTGGAAACTAGTTGGGCATCCCCAAAAGCAGACTCAAAAGTCAGACGTCGAATTTGACAAAATATGCCTTGGTCCAGTAATCTTTTAGTACAACCCCTCAGCTATTCTCTCCCTCTTCTGCCCATAAAATCTCTCAACCACTAATTTAGTACCAACAAAACAATTGGTTACTTATTTAAGTTTTATCGAGGAAATTAGTATCTTCCTGTTGCAGATACAAAGAAAATGGAGAAGTTGGCGGGCGGGCACTTTCCTTTACCTCTCTTGTCATCAGCGTCTGTATCACTCGAAATTCATTCCCCATTAAACATAGGAGACTTACGCCTCTTACATCAAAAGTCTGTTTTTTTTTTTTCCTGATTATTTAAGGCAATAATGTTTCAAAAGCAAAGATGGGACGTCAAAAATCTGATTCACATGTGTAATGATGGTGTTAATCTAGATTACTGCCTCAATTATTGTGGTCAAACTCATATTTTTTAGCTTTTTAAACAGGGAATCAGGCACTAGTTGCAGAGTCAAAGTCAAGAATATTGATTAAACCTGTTTCGGTGAACTAAAAAGAAATTGATTTAATTTCTTTAAAGATCTTTCCATGTGCATATTTTCAAGCACATAATAATTTGTAAAGTCTAAAATTTGAGAAATTGGATTTCAGTTAATTATTGCTTGTAAATTAAAGTTTGGATCTTCTTTTTTTGTTTTGTTTGTGTTTTTTGGACATTATTACGCTTTAATACTAAATAGTGATAAAATGTAACAAATCTCGGTTGATCTGGTCACTCAATTCAAAAGAGATGATTTAGCCTAACAAATCAAGTTGGTTTAGCCCTTGGCTCTTTTCTACATCTTTGATTCCTTTCGGCCGCTTACTTTATGATTGTCTTTGTCAGTGGTAAGTGATAAAACCCAGGGCTAAAGCCAAGCCAACAACCTAATAAAAAATTACCGAAAATATAGAATCGAAACTTCCCAAAAATTTCGAAACATTTTTTACTGTTTAACCTGAAAATGAAACAAGAAAAGTTGGAGGTCTAGATTGTTTCAAATGAAGGAAAATTTGGAAGTTGAAGGGTTAATATCCGAAGTTGCAATTTTCCGGTATAGAGTTTACGCTATAATAAATTAACATGGTCGCACGTATTCCAGGAAGATGCGTACAAATAGTTAAATCTTAAATTGTATATTGTATTGCTTCGAGAAGAGGGAAAAACAAATGAGATACGGTTGACAATGTGAAAACTCGAAAATTTTGACTTGGTTGCAGGCTAACTATTCTGCAAGGCAAAATGCTTGCTGTTCAAGTAAAGGCTCACCAACGAGCCATATAAATATGTTTGTAAACAGCTCAAACGCAAAGAGAGGCCAGAGCCGGCCACAAAGTTGGAATTAAGTGGACAACTCTGAATCACTGAGGGTGCTTCATCTCAACTACCCTTTTGAACTTTTGGTAGGTAAATGCTTCTCCGTGACTCTTTTCATTTTTTTTTTTTGAAAAGTATTAGATTTATTCGACTCTTTTCACTATTCTGTGCTTCTCTTTTTTCTTTGGTGAGTTGAGGGCCTTGTGGGATTTGGGTTATGCTCAAATGATGGCTTTGTCGATGGTATGTTCTACACTCAGCGTAACTATGATGAAGCTTTGTGTTGAAAACTTCAGCTTTAGCAGAGTTATTTTTATTTATATGGGAACTAGGGAGGAGTTGTTGCAGAGAAATTTTTTTTGTCAACAACAGGGGAAAGGTTTTAAGTCTTTTTTAGTTCTCTTCTTCTTACAATATGAAAGAACCTTTTCTCTTTCTTTCTCTCGTCCTCCTCTGCGATCTCTGTTGTCTGGTTTTTGCTGGTGGAAAAATTTAGTAGAGGTACTAAATTTCTACGTCCTCAAGAAAGTTTCTTGATTGTAAATTGATTTTCTGGGATTAGAAAAATGACCTTGATGGAGATTTTATCCCTTGGTTTACCTTTTTGGTCTGTCTGATTTTCCAGGACGTTGTAAAACATTGATTTCTTTTATCTGCTTTTGCTTTCATCTCTGTTACACATTTCAAACCTTGGCTGGTTAGCCCTTGGAGTTTGTTTGATGAATCCAAATCTGTGGAATTGAAAAACTGAGGTTGTTGAGTTATTTAAGTCAAAAGCTTTCAATACCAATGAACAGGGTATATATTTATTTATTTTTCTGAAGCAATTCTTTTAGCTGCTCATAGAATTAAAAATCCTTGAATCCCAAATAGCTAGTTTCATTCTGCCAAGAGTTTCAGATCCTTAGCTAGTATTTATGTAACAACCGTTCAGTTTTTCTGATTATTCTGGCTTTACTTTCACGGTTTTGACCATTTGATTCGATTGTTTCTTGCAGCCGCAATATATATCATATAGATTCTGAAGTTGTTGAGTGTCAAACTAATAGCAAGGGAGCCGCACAATGGCCGCTGAGAATGGCTTCAATGGTCATACTGACTTGCATGAGGCCAGCACATCAAAAAGCCAGGAAGAGCCAGAGAAAGTCTCTGGCGTGAATGGAGAAAATCAAGATTCAGAAAGCAGCAAAGGAGATGAGAAAACTAGCACGGTTCCGTTTTACAAGCTGTTTGCGTTTGCCGATTCAACGGATATCTTGTTAATGATCATCGGCACGATCGGTGCCGTTGGGAACGGTGTATGTATGCCCCTTATGACAATCCTGTTTGGGGATCTTGTTGACGCTTTTGGAGAAAACCAGAGCAACAACAAAGTGGTTGATGTGGTCTCCGAGGTACTACAACTTGTTGCATAAACTTAGCTTGTAAGATTTATAGCAATTTAATCTTTGCTTAGAAAGTTTTTTTTAAAAAAAATTATTTTAGTTTATTATTTTGTTGAATTTCTAAAATGAAGACATTAATAACTGGGTACTTGGAAAATCTTAGATTGCTTTGAAATTTGTCTACCTGGCTGTGGGGTCGGCGGCAGCAGCGTTTCTCCGTAAGTACAGACCTCGTTTAAACCTATGGCCTGATGTTTTATCACGTAGCTGAAGTATTTAATGTGGGCACACTCCGAGCCTGAAAAGCTTGTTTTTGTTATTTTCAGAGGTGTCTTGCTGGATGGTCACTGGTGAGAGACAAGCAGCACGAATAAGAGGATTGTACTTGAAAACCATATTGAGGCAAGATGTTGCTTTCTTTGACGTGGAAACAAATACAGGGGAGGTTGTTGGAAGAATGTCTGGGGACACCGTTCTCATACAGGATGCCATGGGCGAGAAGGTATCATGACTTTGTGACGATTAGAATCCTTGGAAAGTAAAAAGTACCACGGAAATCATCGTAAACATTTAATCATGGAAATATTTGCCTATTTTTTGCAGGTCGGGAAGTTTTTACAACTGATATCCACATTCTTTGGAGGCTTCGTAATAGCGTTTATCAAAGGATGGCTTCTTACCCTCGTCATGTTGTCCTCTATCCCTCTACTTGCAATATCTGGTGGAGTCATGGCCATTCTAATCTCCAAGATGGCATCCCGTGGACAAACTGCTTACGCTAAAGCAGCCACTGTAGTTGAACAGACAATTGGTTCAATCAGAACTGTATGTTTTATATCACAATATTTGCAGCAGAGTTTGTCAATTTTTGCCTTTTTTTTGGGTGAAAATAATATTACCAACTATTTGATCTGATTCCAGGTTGCATCATTTACTGGTGAGAAGCAAGCCATAAGCAATTACAACAAGTTTCTTGTTACTGCTTATAGATCAGGCGTTCATGAGGGCACTGCTGCTGGACTAGGTCTTGGCGTAGTTATGCTAATTATATTCTGCAGTTATGCTTTGGCCATATGGTTCGGTGGGAAGATGATTTTGGAGAAAGGGTACACTGGTGGTCAAGTACTTAATGTGATTATCGCTGTATTAACCGGTTCCATGTAAGTTAAACCTTGAATTTCGTTTTGTCTGATACTATTATGCGTGTAATGCTTTGAGGCCTAAATTCGTTTTACTTATGGATGTTTCAGGTCCCTGGGGCAGGCATCTCCATGCATGAGTGCATTTGCTGCTGGTCAAGCTGCAGCATTTAAGATGTTTGAGACCATCAAAAGGAAGCCAGAGATTGACTCCTATGACACTAGGGGAAAAATATTTGAGGACATTCGTGGGGACATAGAACTAAGGGATGTTTATTTCAGTTACCCTGCCAGACCAGATGAGCAAATTTTCAGTGGATTCTCTCTTTCTATTTCAAGTGGCACAACAGCTGCTTTGGTTGGACAGAGTGGAAGTGGGAAATCAACTGTGATCAGTCTGATAGAGAGATTTTATGATCCACAAGCTGGTGAAGTTCTTATTGATGGCATTAATCTCAAGGACTTTCAGCTTAGATGGATCAGGGGAAAGATTGGTCTTGTTAGCCAGGAACCTGTGTTGTTTACATCAAGCATTAGGGATAATATTGCGTATGGAAAGGAAAATGCAACCACAGAAGAGATAAGAGCTGCAGCTGAACTTGCAAATGCTTCTAAGTTCATTGATAAACTACCTCAGGTTTTAATTTCTAGTGCACATGATTATTTCTTATTTTATATCTCAACTCTTATAATTATATTTGAATTGTACATTTACTTTTGAACTTTAAACTCCATATATAGGGACTAGATACCATGGTTGGGGAACATGGAACCCAGCTTTCTGGTGGACAAAAGCAGAGAGTGGCAATAGCAAGAGCAATTCTGAAGGACCCACGGATTTTGCTTTTAGATGAAGCTACAAGTGCACTAGATGCAGAATCTGAAAGGGTAGTGCAAGAGGCATTAGACAGGATAATGGGCAATAGGACTACTGTCATTGTTGCTCATCGTTTGAGCACTGTGAGAAATGCAGATATGATTGCTGTAATTCATCGTGGAAAGATGGTTGAAAAAGGTATTGTATTGGATATTACAAAAAGGCATGCAGATTTTCATCATCATCACCATCATCATCTACAATAATTGGACATTTTCTAAATTAGAGTCTATATATTGAATATTATAAAACAAGTTTGGTAAAACAATCGACTTATTCTTAGTAGTTCTTAATTCTTTCTTGCACTTTGCATAAGCATAACCATACTTTGCTCCACATCAAAACCGTTGTTGACAGTTGATAACATTTTTGCCAACTGAGCAGGGTCACATTCAGAACTACTCGAGGATCCTGAGGGAGCTTACTCTCAGCTTATTCGATTACAAGAAGTAAATAAAGAGTCGGAACATGTGGCAGATGTATCAGACATTAATCCAGAATCGTTTAGACAGTCAAGCCTAAGAAGGTCATTGAGGCGATCAATCAGCAGGGGATCATCTATAGGAAATAGCAGCCGCCATTCTTTCTCTGTGTCTTTTGGTTTACCTACTGGAATGAATGTCACTGATCCCGCAACGCTAGATACAGCAGACCATGCTGAACTATCATCAGAACGGGCTCCAGAGGTCCCCATCCGCCGGCTTGCTTACCTCAACAAGCCAGAGATTCCTGTGATTTTACTTGGAACTATAGCCGCGGCTGTCAATGGTGTGATACTTCCAATTTTTGGTATCCTAATTTCCAGCGTAATCAAAACATTCTTTAAACCACCTGATGAACTGAAGAAGGATTCAAGATTCTGGGCACTGATATTTATGGTCCTTGGCCTGGCATCATTATTGTCAAGTCCAGCACGAACATACTTCTTTGCTATCGCTGGATGTAAATTAATCCAACGAATCAGATCAATGTGTTTTGAGAAAGTGGTCCACATGGAAGTTGGTTGGTTTGATGAACCAGATCACTCAAGTGGTTCAGTTGGTGCAAGGCTCTCAGCAGATGCAGCCACAATACGTGCCCTGGTTGGAGATGCACTAGCTCAGATGGTCTCAAACATTGCATCAGCAGTTGCTGGTTTGGTCATCGCTTTTGTTGCAAGTTGGCAGTTGGCTTTTATTATCCTAGCACTAATCCCTCTGATAGGGGTTAATGGATATGTTCAAGTAAAATTCATGAAGGGATTTAGTGCAGATGCAAAGGTATGCTCAAAACCAAGGACTTTGGTATCTAAAATTTGCTATTTGAATTTTACTATATTACTTTCATAATTTTGAAAAAAAATGGTAAAAGCAATATGTTATCAAGCATATTATTGATTTAGATTTAAATATAAATGGTTGCAGTTGATGTATGAGGAGGCCAGCCAAGTAGCTAATGATGCAGTTGGGAGCATAAGAACAGTTGCTTCCTTTTGTGCTGAGGAAAAGGTGATGCAGCTCTATAAAAAGAAATGCGAGGGTCCTATGAAAACAGGGATAAGGCAGGGGTTGATCAGTGGATCAGGATTTGGACTTTCATTCTTCTTGCTGTTTTGTGTTTACGCAACCAGTTTCTATGCAGGAGCTCAACTTGTTAAGCATGGCCATGCAACATTCACAGATGTTTTTCAAGTGAGTCTAACTTCCAGCTCTATCAAGTCTCTCTTAAAAACGTTTTAAGACCTTCAATTTACTATGCTTGTTCCTAAGATACTGAGATTAACATTATTTTTCAGGTTTTCTTCGCTTTGACCATGGCGGCTGTTGGAATTTCTCAATCAAGCTCCTTTGCTCCTGATTCCAGCAAAGCCAAGACTGCTGCTGCTTCCATATTTGCAATTATTGATCGTAAGTCTAAGATTGACCCAAGCGATGAGTCTGGGACGACGCTAGAAAATGTGAAAGGAGATATTGAGTTTCGTCATGTCAGTTTTAAGTATCCACTAAGGCCGGATGTTCAAATTTTACGAGATTTGAGTTTGTCTATTCATGCTGGCAAGGTAATGATCCTAATTTTGAATTAAATTTCTCTTCAAACAGTCATGTCAACATTTATCAGAGACCAATTCATGCTAACATCAATCCTTCTTCTTCAGACTGTTGCTCTGGTTGGAGAAAGTGGGAGCGGGAAATCTACAGTAATCTCATTATTGCAGAGATTTTATGATCCTGATTCAGGTCGTATTACTCTTGATGGAGTTGAAATCCAAAAGCTCCAATTGAAGTGGTTGAGGCAACAGATGGGTCTTGTGAGCCAAGAACCTGTTTTGTTTAATGATACAATCCGTGCCAACATTGCATATGGAAAGGGAGGAAATGCAACAGAGGCTGAAATCTTAGCCGCATCAGAGTTGGCCAATGCTCACAAGTTCATCAGTGCCTTGCAACAGGTTAGAAACTATAAACAGTTCCCAGATTGGCTTAATAATGCAACTCTTGTACAAAACTATCTAACCTCCGTTAAACCCTTTCTAATAGTACAGAAATCAATTTGAAAACATGCTATATTAGTTCCTAAATGCTAATCCTTTTTCCTTAAAAATCTATAATGCAGGGTTATGATACTGTAGTAGGAGAGCGAGGAGTTCAAATGTCAGGAGGACAGAAGCAACGCATAGCCATTGCGCGTGCCATAGTTAAGAGTCCAAAGATACTGCTATTAGATGAGGCTACTAGTGCATTGGATGCTGAATCAGAGAGAGTGGTTCAGGATGCACTAGATAGAGTCATGGTCAACCGCACGACCGTCGTAGTTGCTCATAGGCTATCCACAATCAAGAATGCAGATGTTATCGCTGTGGTTAAAAACGGCGTCATCGTAGAGAAAGGAAAGCACGACGCTTTGATAAACATCAAAGATGGTTTCTATGCTTCCTTAGTTGCACTCCACATGAGTGCTTCCACTGCATAAACTTCTTCTGTAATTTTTTTTTACTCATGTAATCATAAACTTCGGTAAAGGGTCCCTTCCTTAATTCTTTTCCTGCTCCAATTTATTTTGCAAACCGAATCTGTACTATCAATTATATAATAATAAGAGAAAAGCGAAAAGTATTTTAGCTTATGACGTAACGTTCAACATGTATGCTTTAAGCTTGACTTCAGCCTGATGCAGCAGACAGCATGATCGCTATTTGACTCATCTGATATTCTGCATAATTATCGAAAGAATATGCCAGGCAGGATAAAAACAAGATATTAATGCCAGAACCTGTTGCAAACGTCATGGATGATGGCACAGATGAGATATCCATGTTCCATTCTCACACGTACCCTTTTTCATATTAAATAGATTATGGTTTAATTAATACATGAATCCAGTTGCCGTAAGCAACGGCTAATTAGCTGGAAATGCTGGCACAGCCATTTGTCTTGTACTTTAGAAGAACGTATTAATTACAGAAGTAGGAAAGATTTGAGTGATAAAGTATTGGAAACCAAGTTAAGTAGCGCCGAAGCTAGATGTACTGAATATTTAAAACCATCGGCATCTATGGAGGTTGGGCAATTAATAAATATATTTTTAGAAGAATGTAGAGGCTTTGACTATAACTTTTGTGTCCTTAGGAAAAACGACAGCCATTGTAGGTGTTGACCATATTTGTCAGCTTACGTTAAATGCTGTAGTAATTCCTGTTTAGGGCCGATTATATTATCCTCTTATAACCTAAATTAATATCTTCTAGAAAGGCCCGATTCCGTAACAAATGTAGATCCATAATTAATTAATTTCACCTTCGAATAAATTAATAATTAAATATATATAATTTGTAAATAATTAAAATTTGATATCTTAAAATTTTTAATTCAGTAATTGATGTATTATTCTTCTATTTAAAAATTAAGGTTCAATTTTCTCTTTTTTCAAATCAAAAGGAAATTAAAATTTGATTTAGTGGTTTAAAATTTTGAATTTTTAAATATTGCTTCATTCAACATTGTAAATCTTCATTAATTTTCCTTATCATTATTAATTGGTAGATCTTCATAGTCTGCCTAAAGCTCAAAACTTTGATCCAATCTAAAAAAATAATCAAACTGATTATTTCATGTTGGTGTCACAGATTCTAAATGTGTTAGATTTTAAATTTATTAATAAAAATCTTTCTTTACTTATTAAAATTGAAAATGTAAATCAAAATATCCAACTATTCCCTTACTTGAGATCTCCAAAAGAAATATCATAATTGAATTAGGTCCAAATCAATATTATTATTTTTTTCTATAAATAAAAAAGCTCATGAAATTGGTTGAAATAAAATATTAAATTTTTCTCCATCTAATGAATAAATCTTTTAAATTAAAAGTGTAAATTCGTGAAGCCCTTAACATTGCAAGATTACCCCCTATGGCTAGTATACGCGGTTGGTTGTCTAACATAAGCACGTGAACAATCAACCACTTCCTTTTTATTATTTGGAAAGGAAAGAAAGAAATTTTGAGAGATAACTCTCTTCATAAGTTTAATTCAAAAATATCTTTCATTATAATTTTAATATTTTTAGCTAATTTTTGACATGACTTGATAACAATACCTTTTAAATAATTTTAAACAAATTAAAACGATTTCGATTTTAATTTCAAAATTAAATCTTGATTTCTCTTTCTTGCTAAATATTATCTATCTCACCATCTAATTCTTTCTCGTCATCTTAAAAAGCAGAGATGGCATCCAACTCTTTCTTATTTGTTTTATTTTTTTGGATGGTGGATCTTAGGGTTCTTAATGGCAATGAACAACAATTTTGCTCTTCTATGATGATTGCAATTAGCATGATGAATGTCGTAACTTGATGTTTTCTCATGATAACTTCCTTCAAAAAGTGTGCTGCGATGGAGATGCCTATGTTGATGAGTTAGATCGAGTTGGTTAAGATAAAAAGTTCAAGGAAAAGGAATAACTAAAACATGTTTGATGAGTTTTATTGTAATTCATGATTTTGTTGTGTTTGAATTAGGATGATTGTTAAGCATGGGGATTTTATTTATTTTGATGAGATTTTGAGTTGGAATTGTTTAAAGAATATTTTGTAACGAGAGTATATTTTGTTTTTACACAAAAGGAGTGAGCAAGGCCCTTCCAATAAGGATATATTTTATCTTACTTTGGAGGATTATGAAATTTTGTAACCTCTCTTTTATGAAATGCACAATTTCATGGCTTAAGTAAAAAAAAAAAGTGTTTTAGGTTATTGGTTTTATTGGTTTATTCATATAATTTCAAAATTGAGAGATTAAAATTGATTATATATATTTGTAAATTAGAACACTGTGTGACTTTGACAACTTAAAACTGACTGCGAGCAGACAAATCAATTAGTTATTAGAAATTGTATTATCAGTTTTTAAGCATTGTGTCACTAGTTTTTAGGTATTGTAAAACTAATTTTTAGACATTGTGTGACTAAATCATTACGTCTTTAATTTTTAGACATCGCATGATTAGTTTTTAAACATTGTGTGATTGATTTTTGACGATGCTTAAGTCACACAATACCTTGCTAACTAGTAACGCAATGTCTTACTAACAAGTCACACAATGCTTATCAACTAGTCACACAATATCATATTAATCAATCACGCAATATTTAAAAATTAGTAGTGCAATACTTAAAAACTAATCACACAATACCTAAAAATCAATCACACAATTCTTAAAAATTAATAACATAATGCCTAAAAACTACCAAAATTATTGAATTCTATTTAACAAAATTAACAACTTCAAACAATACACCATATTCCATTTGACAATATAATCAACAAATATATCTACTTAACGAAAAATGCTTAAAATGTACAAAAGTTTTTCTTTATTTATCAAAAATCACTCCGAAATACTTAAAAATGTTCAAAACGTTCAAAAGATTTTCTTTATGTATCAAAAACTACTCTGAAATACTCAAAATGTTTAAAAGTTTTTCTTTTTAATAAAGAATACTTTAAAAATGAATAATCTAAGAAAAAAAGCTCAAAGAATATGAATTAGTTTAAAATGCAGACTTAAACATATGGTCAATTTTATTAAAAGTAATTTTGTTCAAAGTTAATTTTTTTAGCTAAAATAATTAAAATTATAAACAAAATATTTTTAAAAATAAGGAGTATTTTTTAAAAGAACTCAAAAGAACGTACTTCTGGTTATTGTGGTCGTTCATAAGTTAATTATTCCACGCAAACAAGGACAAGTTCCAAGAGACAAAAGGAAAAAATGCCCACGGCCCCACGGCCGACCAACATGGAAGCCTAGCATACCAAAGCTTAAACTTCGGTTTTAGTTTGTTTTCTTTACTGAATTTCCACACCTTGCACGTCAAGGTAGGACGATTCAAAAAGCCTTCCTTGAGATATTTCTTGGGGATGAATTATAGGCGAATGGTCCCCGGAAAGAGATTGTTATAATCGAAGAGCGAGAAACAGATTTATTTCGTTTGCATTCTTGTGTATTGGCAGGAAAAGGATTTGAGGCGAACAGTCAATATCGCAATCAATCCTTAATCTCTTATACTCTAAAAATTAATGATCAAGAGCACTGTATCGACCCTCCAAGAGGCAGAAATACCATAACCAATTTGGCGGGTAAAAGAACTTCAGGTTTCAGCTCTCCTTGACGGACAACATGTTCATGCAATTGCAAGGATGAAAAAAAAAAAAGAGAGGAGAAATTAAAGAATATCAAGTAATTGCGACCATGACATTACACTTTGCCCAATAGATAAACAATAATAATGACATCACACTGTAATGATAAACAATTTAAGGTTGTTGCATACACATTGCCCTCTCTGTTTTGTGTCCTTTGCCCGATAGATAGCTAATTGGTTCTGATTTTTGGATGGTTTATTATCTGTCAGTAGCAAAAATTGGGTGCATATGGAGAATGAATGAGTGTCGCTTGGCATCAGGTATTTGTTTATGAAATAGTACATTTACATAGTGTTATGATGGAGGCTTTTGCCAAGGGGTGATTGACAATGCGTTTTGCTTTTGTCTCTGTTGTAAATTGAGTTTGTAGGAGCTAACGAATTCTTGAATTCTCAACGTGCTTTTGTTTGCTTCCTTGTCAGTTAAGCAATTTAGACCTTGGAGTCATCCTGTTGAATTTTCAACGATGATGCTGATAGCCTGATACCCTTTGTTTTGCTTTTGGGAGCTAACCTGTTGAATTTTCAACAAAGATCACTGCTGATGGCCTGATACCATTCAATCAAATGTTTTCATGGCCAATGAAAAGTCTTATTATCTTTAGATTAGAAATGCTCTTGGATTTATAAACCCTTCAACCGTCCAACAAGAAACCCTGAGTACTTGGTTCCATTTTTTAAAAGACTTTGATCCTTGGATAGCATTTTCCTACTGCCCGTTGGTTAATCTATTTTGACTTCACTGATAACTTGCTAGTTTTGGCGCATTAATTGTTCCTTGCAGACGCAATATTAGCTCTAAAGCTTTCGGAAGAAATTAATGATCGAAGTAGTATCTTGGGTGTCATACAATGGCCACTGAGAATGACTTGAAAGTTGACACTGACTTCAAGGAGGCGAGCACATCAAAAAGCTGCAAAGAGCCAGAGAAAGGCTGTAGGATGAATGGAGAGAATCAAAAGTCAGCGACGGGCAAACCAGATGAGAAGACTAACACAGTTCCATTTTACAAACTATTTGCATTTGCTGATCCAACAGATATTTTGTTAATGATTGTTGGTACAATCGGTGCCATTGGGAATGGTTTAAGTATGCCTCTTATGACGATATTGTTTGGGGAGCTAATTGACTCTTTTGGAGAAAACCAGAACAACAACGAGGTGGTTGATGTGGTTTCCGAGGTATTAATACGTATCATGAACTAAATTTATGAGATTTATTTCAATATTCAGCATTGCTAAATGTTTTATTTTTACTAATTCAAGTGTAAATTGCTTTCCATTTGTAAAAGGATAAATGCCATCTTAAAATTTTCATTTAGTGGAATTTAGTTTGTCAAATCAGGGTTTGCTCCTAAATACCTGTCTGTTTTCACCTTTATTGGGTCAACTTGTTGTATTTAATAGTTTTCTTCCTGGAA